ATTAACAGTTTATCTGCAAACAGCATGAAGATGATGATTCTCAGAGGCCAGTTTTCTCATTTGGTGACTGTTTGTTTACTCATTCAGAAATACAGAATTGAAACATCAGGTTACCAGAACGCTCTCACTCGGTTTGTGCATGTGATGCTGTTCATAAAGACAATGTAAAAGACAGCTCATTCCTTCTTCTTTGCTTCTTCTTCTTCTTGCCTCCTGCTGCAGATAAAGCTGTCAGACTTTGGTTTCTGCGCTCAGATCAGCAAAGACGTCCCCAAGAGGAAATCTCTGGTTGGGACTCCGTACTGGATGGCTCCTGAGGTGATCTCCAAAATGCCGTACGGGACTGAGGTAGGAAGCCTCCAGATACATGACCAACCTCACTGACTGTTAAAATCAGTTTTAGATGTCTGCCTAAAGCTACTTGGTGCTGAATGTTTATTTAATAAATGACTTAGATTCAGCTGAAGGAGTCACTTGGAGCATCAGATGTAGACACATAAATGGCTTCTGTGTTTAAGGTGGACGTCTGGTCCCTGGGCATCATGGTGGTGGAGATGGTGGACGGAGAGCCGCCATATTTCAGCGACACACCCGTCAGCGCCATGAAGAAGCTGAGAGACGAACCAGCACCGAACGTCAAGAACATCCAGAAGGTCAGAGACACTCACGCTCGTCAACGTGACTCCTCATCAGAGATTTAATCAAAATGCTAACTAACTAGCCGGCTAGCGGTCAGTAGTTGATGATGTCACTGTCTGTGTATCCAGGTGTCTCCAGTGCTGAAGGACTTCCTGGGCTGCATGTTGACTCGCGACACGTTGCAGCGAAGCAGCGCCGCCGACCTGCTGGAGCACCCGTTCCTGCTGCAGGCTGGGACGCCGCGCTGCCTGGTGCCGCTGGTGGAGCAACACCGCAAACGCATGTCGCTCTGCTAAACACCCTCATGTGGAGATACCAGAAACTCAGCTGAGACTCACTTGAGTTAGCCTCTGACACTCACCTGAACATTGAGGCTAGTTTGGCTGCAGCAGCTCAACTTCAGTGGCTTTGTTTTTACAGATGTTACACGTTAGCTCACTTCTGATTGGCTGCTAAGGAGCCACAGACTGCAGCAGCTAATCACGTACCTGGGCTACTGTAAGCCCCTCCCATTTCAGGTGCCTGTCAGAGCTCCTTCTGCCAATCAGGTGAGTGAACTCAGTCTGAGGGGAGCAGTAGGCCTGAACTCTGAGGGTCTAGAGGTCACTTCAGGATGTGACCTTTGACCTCCGGCTACAGGTTAGTTTGTTTAACCTGAAACAGCTGATGTTCCCCCTTTATGATGACAGTTTGTCCACAGTTTTCTGTGAGTGAGCAGAAGTTTCAACTGGACAAACCTGTTTTTACCTGCTACCTGAGCTCCTGAGTGCTGCTCCCGGTTTGACTTTTGACCTCCTGTTCTGTAATTTTTAACAGTAAAATGGAGGATTTGAACTTTTGAACATTTCAGATTCCTTTATGTTTCTACAGATCATTTTATAAGCCATAAAAAACAAATATCAAAAAAGCACATTTCTAACTTAGCGTTAAAGACAAATTCAAGCCTTTAACAAGAAAAAAAAGTCAAACAAATGAATGCAGGATTCTGTTTTAAAGCAGTTTTAGTCTGATTCTGATTTCAGATCAGCTGCAGACACATTTCAGGTCAGAATTTCTGTTAAGAACAACTTCACAGGAATGTATAAATGTAAAAAAGTGTTAAAAAATTAAGGACAATTTTTATTTCTCTCAGCTGAGCAGGAGAGGATTCTCTAAATTCAAGAAGCTCTGTATCAGAGCTTTATTTTTATAAGAAAATCAAAACAGAACATTAATATGTCTGCGCCCAGAAACACAACAGAAATCAAATTGTCAGTAAAATGTCAACATATAAAATGATGTAACAGCTTCAGTTTTAATGAGTAGTTAATTACATTCAGGTTAATTAGGTTATGCATAGAGATTATGTTTGTTATGGATTAACTGACTAATCATTTGGTCTGTAAACATCAAAAACAGATAAATTTCATGTCTTTTTGTTTGATTATCTGGTAAAATTAATTTCATCTTGACACCATGTTCGCATGTTTCTGTTCACAAACGTGCATATTGAGGATTTTTTTTTTTTCCTGTGACGATGATGAAAAGCTCTTCCTCGCTGTTCGTGTTATAAACTAAGAGGTGGATTTATTTTGAAAACTTGCACAGTTTGAATGTGACCTTGCACATATTAGTGACATGTTCGAAATAATAAACCTGATGTATTTAAAGTGTCGCACAGTCTGTTCACTGCTTCTCTTCTAATGCTCCAAATGACAGGACACATTTTTGTGACTGAAGTTAAAACTAATTATCTAACATTAAACATCTAAATTTTGTATTTTTTTTCAAAGTTATTACTTTGGCCCTTTTTGCCTTTATTTGATAGTTTAGTTGAGAGAGAAACAGGAAAGTGGAGGAGAAGAACCTGCAGAAAACAGCCATGAGCAGGACTCGAACTCATGACCTCTGCATTGGGGACTACAGCCCCTGTACATGGGACACCAGCTCAACCAGGTGAGCTATGGCGGCGCCAATTCCCAGATTTTTACTAGACCTTTGCAGTGATGTTAACTCTTCTGGTGTTTTTTTTTTTTTTTTCTATCCAATTTCTTTCATTTAGTTTCAGTTTTATAGAGTTTGTATGATATTAAAATCAACTAGGTACTTTCAGAACAGACTGGTGCTTCTTAAAAGCATTTATTTTGTCATTTATATTCTTCTGTAAACTGTGAATTGAACTTCTCGTCTGACAGATTTACTGTGATCATGAATGCTGCTGCTCCCAGACACCTCTTTCCCACCAGGGCAGTTCCAGGGCTGGTTCAGAGCCAGTACTTGATGTTAAACCAGTTCTTTGACAACCAAACAACCGCTTCTCAGCAGGAAAACTGGATCCAGAGCGACACCAACACTTTGCTGGCCGAGAACAAAGAACCACTTACATCAGGAGTTGGAGGTGGGATGACTGTGACCAACAAGACTTCAACTAAAACTTTGTGACTGCCATTTTAAAAACAAAAAACAGAACTAGTCTGCTTGATCCACAGCTTTAATACAACACTGAGGCAGCAGTGTGAGGTCAGTACTCGTCTTTTTTACCAGCTGTCAGTCATAAAGGCATTCATGAACGCCTTCATATTAAAACATCAAAGGAAGTGACCATGACACAAACACTGACCTCACTGGTTTGCCAGCAGAGATCTGTTGGAGAGACGAACTGTCTCTTTGCACTGCGCTCACTGACAGAAGTTCAGAATAAACTGGAGGGAGTGAAACCGATGTTAGAACATTTATACACAGTGACGTAATGAAGTGGCTCTTTAGTGGCTCGAGCTAAACAAGTTCTTAGAAAGCTAAACTCCAAACCAGAACCAATACAAGGTTCACGCTGGTGGATAGTTGGTACAACAGCTTAAATTTTTCAGTCAGAATTAAGATAATTTAAGTAAACATAATTTAAATTCATCCTCACAACTCTTCTGCCATCCTTCCCCTCTAATGATCAGAAGCAATGTAGTGCTGAATCAGAATGTTTTCAGTAGCTCACTCTTGGAAACATCAACCTGTCTTTCTCAAATCCTTTCTCGCAGAACACAACCAATACATACAAAGTTTTCTGTAAATCAAACACAGACTGAAACCATTTAGATCTAAATCATCAACTGCAGGATTATTAGTCTGACCAGATGTCTGCAGTTTTTTATACCCGGTGCTGCAGACACATGTTAGAGTATTGATGTTCAGACAGGACGGTAAGTGCTTCTGCAGGCTCAAGCATCTTCACATGTCGCAGATTAAAAAGTGTCTGGTTTCTATTTGCAGGCTGCGAGTCAAAGAGTCCTGGCTGTCAGAGATAAACAGACAAAAACACTTCAGCACATCACAGCACACTCTTCGTTGTACAGATTAACAGCGAGTCGGATCCAAACCAAGAACTGCAGCAAACCATCGCTGCTTCATTTGAGCTCATTTTCTTAAAGTTGACTGTTGGTTTTAGCACAGAGGAGCAAATAAACATCTTTAACTGAAATCTCAGACACATTCTGACAGATTCAACACGTCATTTAAACACTGACACAAGAGGTTTGGAAATGTTAAAAGATTCAAATCAGTTTCTGTGAGTTTCACCGAGGATCAAAGTTGTTTGTGGAGATTTAAATTTATGTGTCAGCATTTGTTATCAGGTAAAAGACCCACGAATCATTTCTAAAGCTGACTAATATTTTTTTGCAATTCAAAGTTAGATTAGGTTTGAATTACTGTGAAAAAGGAAATTTACACAATAAAACTCAAATTTATTTCAGTAAACAGTGAAATTTGACTTTGGCAATTAAGATGTTAACTTTAAGTTGTAACTTACAATTTATTGCCGGTTACACTAACGTATTATTTTACTTTTCGTAGGCCATCCATGTTACCTCTCTGTCAAAGGAAAAAGAAGGATTTCTGGGAAATTTGACCTTAAACGTTCAGTTCATCCACTTTTATAGGAATCCATAATGGACTCAAGGACTGCATGTATGGCTGCATTAAGAACAAGATATGGCACAAGTATGAATAAATTAACAAATAAATACATAACACAAATTGGTCAATAAAAATGAAATATATTGGTCGTGATAAAGGACAAAATCTCATTAATATTATGTATTTATTTCTGCAGTACCTCACATCCACTCTTATTTAAGTTATTATAATATTGTTGATGTTTGTTCTAATCTTGCTTCTAATTTATCTTTATAGCTTCTGCAGACTGTAAGTGTTTTTGCACTTATTTTAGTTTTTACTTAAAATTAGTTCTAATAAATTAGGAGGCCTTTAAATATTTTTTGAGGAATTAACACTTTTTGTGTCAAACAGAATTAAATAAACCGATGAATATATAAGGAGTGATCTAAAATGACTGGAGATAAGTGATTTTTGGGAAGTAAGGGACTTTTTCACTGAAGCTGAATGACTCAGCAGCAGACAAAATGAGCTGCAGTGAGGATACAGTAGAGTCTAAATGGAGAGGTGTCAGGAGTCTCTATCAGCAGGCAGATAAGCAGTGAAACTCTACTTTTCCTAAAATGGACTTTAACAGCCAAAGGTCCTGAATCTGCCCTCATGGTGCAATCACATCCCAGGACAAATTTAGTGAGGTTGTTTTTTTCTTTTCAGCAGTTATCTCCTAATTTGGTCCCCAGGGAGCCTTTATAAACTCCTGTGAATGTGAAGAGGCTGCAGTCCTTGATCAGCGTCAGCAGGAAACCAGTCTCTCTTCTCAGGCTTTTCTGTCATCTGACGGTCAAGGACCTCCACCTTCAACCATGGGTGATGCCCTGATGGCCGAGTTTGGGAAGGCTGCTCCTTACCTGAGGAAGTCGGACAAGGAGCGTCTGGAGGCTCAGACCAGAGCTTTTGACATCAAAGTTGAATGTTTTGTAGTTGATGATAAAGTAGAATATGTAAAGGGACAAATTCAGAGCAAAAATGCAGGGATGACGACTGTCAAGAAGGATGATGGAACGACAGTGACAGTAAAGGAGTCCGACGTTCACCCCCAGAACCCGCCAAAGTTTGACAAAATTGAAGACATGGCGATGTTCACATTTCTCCATGAGCCTGCCGTGCTGTTTAACCTCAAAGAGCGTTATGCAGCTTGGATGATCTATACCTATTCTGGGCTTTTTTGCGTCACTGTTAACCCCTATAAGTGGCTGCCGGTCTACGACGCTGAGGTGGTGGCAGCCTACAGGGGGAAGAAGAGGAGTGAGGCTCCCCCTCATATTTTCTCAATCTCTGATAACGCCTACCAGTACATGCTGACTGACAGGGAGAACCAGTCTGTCCTCATCACCGGAGAATCCGGAGCAGGAAAGACGGTGAACACCAAAAGAGTCATACAGTACTTTGCCAGCATCGCTGCAGTCGGAGGAGGCAAAAAAGACACTAGCAAGGGGACACTGGAGGATCAAATCATCCAGGCAAACCCAGCGCTGGAAGCATTTGGCAACGCCAAAACGTTGAGAAATGACAACTCATCTCGATTTGGAAAATTCATCCGAATTCATTTTGGCACAAGTGGCAAACTGTCGTCTGCTGACATCGAGACATACCTGCTGGAGAAGTCACGTGTCACCTTTCAGCTCAAGGCCGAGAGGAACTACCACATCTTCTACCAGATCCTGTCCAATGAGAAGCCAGAGCTGCTGGACATGCTGCTGATTACCAACAACCCATACGACTACTCCTACATCTCCCAAGGAGAGGTAACGGTCGCCTCCATCAATGACGCGGAGGAGCTGATGGCCACTGACAGTGCCTTCGATGTGCTTGGCTTCACTCCAGAGGAGAAGATGGGCGTCTACAAGCTGACTGGTGCCATCATGCACTATGGAAACATGAAGTTCAAACAGAAGCAGCGAGAGGAACAGGCTGAACCTGATGGAACAGAGGCAGCTGATAAATCAGCTTACCTAATGGGGCTGAACTCCGCTGACCTCATCAAAGGGCTGTGCCATCCCAGAGTCAAGGTAGGAAATGAGTATGTCACCAAAGGTCAAAGTGTGGACCAAGTCTACTACTCCATCGGTGCTCTGGCTAAGTCAGTGTATGAGAAGATGTTCAACTGGATGGTGGTGAGAATCAACCAATCGCTGGACACAAAACAGCACCGTCAGTACTTCATAGGAGTGCTGGACATTGCTGGATTTGAGATCTTTGATTTCAACACATTTGAGCAGCTGTGCATCAACTTCACCAATGAGAAACTGCAACAGTTTTTCAACCATCACATGTTTGTTCTGGAGCAAGAAGAATACAAAAAAGAAGGAATCGACTGGGAGTTTATTGACTTTGGGATGGATTTGCAGGCCTGTATTGACCTGATTGAGAAACCTCTGGGGATCATGTCGATATTGGAGGAGGAATGCATGTTTCCAAAAGCCAGTGACCAGACCTTCAAGTCCAAGCTCTATGATAATCATCTGGGCAAGAACAAGATGTTTGAGAAGCCAAGGGCAGCAAAGGGAAAAGCAGAGGCTCATTTTGCCCTGGTTCACTATGCTGGCACGGTGGACTACAATATCGCTGGCTGGCTGGTCAAAAACAAAGACCCCCTGAATGAAACTGTGGTCGGTCTTTACCAGAAATCCTCTCTTAAGCTTCTCAGTCTGCTGTTTTCAAGCTACTCTGGAGCTGATAGTGGAGACAAGGGAGGTGGCAAAGGGGCCAAGAAGAAAGGCTCCTCAT